GCCGCGTTCACACCTGAGGAGATTATCTGCGGCGGCTTTGTTGTTTCAGTCAGAACGGTTAAACTCGAGCTCGTCCCCGGAGACTCGGAGGACGCTGGATTCTGTCTGGTTTTGATTCCCTCGGCCTCTGGGTTCAGACTTTTGAAATCCTCCCGTCTCACACACCTCAGCAGAGGAACACGCTTCACGCTCTCACACGCCACGCTCACGCTCCAAAACACGCCACACGCTCCGAACACGCTCCGAAACACGCTCCAAAACACGCTCCGAAACACACACCGAAACACGCTCACGCAAACACGCTCCACACGCTCCAAACCGACACACGCTCCAAAACACGCAACGATACAAGCTCCGAAACACGGTGTGTGGCTACAGACGTCCACACAGAAAAACAGGAAAACTGAAACTACTGATAAAAGAAAAATAACACGATCCAGTAAAGCGTTTTTAAATAGAAAATCTCGTACAAAAGTCTTCGCTGCATCACAGAAATGTTCAAATGAAACAATAATCAGTCAGAAAAATCACTGATACAAACCTCAACACAAAAAATACTACTACTACTACTACTACTACCACTACTACTACTACTACTACTACTACTACTACTACTACTACTACTACTACTACTACTACTACTACTACTACTACTACTACTACTACTACTACTACTACTACTACTACTACTACTACTACTGCTACCACTACCACTACTACTACTACTACTACTACTACTACTACTACTACTACTACTACTACTACTACTACTACTACTACTACTACTACTACTACTACTACTACTACTACTACTACTACTACTACTACTACTACTACTACTACTACTACTACTACTACTACTACTACTACTACTACTACTACTACTACTACTACTACTACTACTACTACTACTACTACTACTACTACTACTACTACTACTACTACTACTACTACTACTACTACTACTACTACTACTACTACTACTACTACTACTACTACTACTACTACTACTACTACTACTACTACTACTACTACTACTACTACTACTACTACTACTACTACTACTACTACTACTACTACTACTACTACTACTACTACTACTACTACTACTACTACTACTACTACTACTACTACTACTACTACTACTACTACTACTACTACTACTACTACTACTACTACTACTACTACTACTACTACTACTACTACTACTACTACTACTACTCTACTACTACTACTACTACTACTACTACTACTACTACTACTACTACTACTACTACTACTACTACTACTACTACTACTACTACTACTACTACTACTACTACTACTACTACTACTACTACTACTACTACTACTACTACTACTACTACTACTACTACTACTACTACTACTACTACTACTACTACTACTACTACTACTACTACTACTACTACTACTACTACTACTACTACTACTACTACTACTACTACTACTACTACTACTACTACTACTACTACTACTACTACTACTACTACTACTACTACTACTACTACTACTACTACTACTACTACTACTACTACTACTACTACTACTACTACTACTACTACTACTACTACTACTACTACTACTACTACTACTACTACTACTACTACTACTACTACTACTACTACTACTACTACTACTACTACTACTACTACTACTACTACTACTACTACTACTACTACTACTACTACTACTACTACTACTACTACTACTACTACTACTACTACTACTACTACTACTACTACTACTACTACTACTACTACTACTACTACTACTACACTACTACTACTACACTACTACTACTACTACTACTACTACTACTACTACTACTACTACTACTACTACTACTACTACTACTACTACTACTACTACTACTATTACTACTACTACTACTACCTACTAAATCTAATCACCTTACAAAAAACAAAAAACTACTACTATTACTACTACTACAACTAGTACTACTACTGCTACTGCTACTTCTGCAACACCTAAAGTCCAAATTAGGGTCCATCAAATCGTCGTCACAGAGCTTCTGCATCGACCGACGTGCACCTCTGAAATTTTCTGACTACACATCGAAACGACGCAGACGTCGGGGAAACGACGCAGACAGTCAGGGCTGTGATTGGTCCTCTCTACCAACGCCGCCGCCGCCGCCGCCGCTCTACAGGCACTGCACTTCACTTTCCTTTCTTTCAGGATACATTGAATAATAATATGTTTAATGCAGATTTGAGAATATGTGTTTAAGTTTTACAGAAATGAAACTTAAAACCACATGACTCATTTGCATAAACTAAACTCTCAAAAAAAAAAAAAAAAACAGCTCGTTATTGTGTCTCTGTTGCGGTTCAGTTTGTGTTGGACTAAAGGACACGACTCAGTGGAATATGAGTGTTCTCTCTGTGACAGAGGGGTGTTCTCTCTGTGTCAGAGGGTGTGTGTCAGAGGGGTGTTCTCTCTGTGTCAGAGGGGTGTTCTCTCTGTGACAGAGGGGTGTTCTCTCTGTGTCAGAGGGGTGTTCTCTCTGTGTCAGAGGGGTGTTCTCTCTGTGTCAGAGGGGTGTTCTCTCTGTGTCAGAGGGGTGTTCTCTCTGTGACAGAGGGGTGTTCTCTCTGTGACAGAGGGGTTGTTCTCTCTGACAGAGGGTGTTCTCTCTGTGTGTCAGAGGGGTGTTCTCTCTGTGTCAGAGGGGTGTTCTCTCTCTGTGACAGAGGGGTGTTCTCTCTGTGACAGAGGGGTGTTCTCTCTGTGTCAGAGGGTGTTCTCTGTCTGTGACAGAGGGGTGTTTCTCTCTGTGACAGAGTGTGTGACAGAGGGGTGTTCTCTCTGTGACAGAGGGGTGTTCTCTCTGTGTCAGAGGGGTGTTCTCTCTGTGACAGAGGGGTGTTCTCTCTGTGTCAGAGGGGTGTTCTCTCTGTGACAGAGGGGTGTTCTCTCTCTGTGACAGAGGGTGTTCTCTCTGTGTCAGAGGGGTGTTCTCTCTGTGTCAGAGGGGTGTTCTCTCTGTGTCAGAGGGGTGTGTCTCTCTCTGTGACAGAGGGTGTTCTCTCTGTGTCAGAGGGTGTGTTCTCTCTGTGTCAGAGGGGTGTTCTCTCTGTGTCAGAGGGGTTTCTCTCTGTGTCAGAGGGTGTTCTCTCTGTGACAGAGGGTGTTCTCTCTGTGTCAGAGGGGTGTTCTCTCTGTGACAGAGGGGTGTTCTCTCTGTGTCAGAGGGGTGTTCTCTCTGTGTGACAGAGGGTGTTTCTCTCTGTGACAGAGGGGTGTTCTCTCTGTGTCAGAGGGGTGTTCTCTCTGTGACAGAGGGTGTTCTCTCTGTGTCAGAGGGGTGTTTCTCTCTGTGATCAGAGGGGTGTTCTCTCTGTGACAGAGGGGTGTTCTCTCTGTGTCAGAGGGGTGTTCTCTCTGTTCTCTCTGTGTCAGAGGGGTGTTCTCTCTGTGTCAGAGGGGTGTTTCTCTCTGTGACAGAGGGTGTTCTCTCTCTGTGTCAGAGGGGTGTTCTCTCTGTGTCAGAGGGGTGTGTTCTCTCTGTGTGTCAGAGGGGTGTTCTCTCTGTGTCAGAGGGTGTTCTCTCTGTGACAGAGGGGTGTTCTGCTGATGGTGAGTCTGTTTTGAATTACATCGCAGTGCACAGAAATTGACGCAGATCCAAAAACGACATTGACAGTGAGCGTTGAGTCGACGCAAAACTATACTTTGCATTTTAGACTGCTACTGCTACTACTACTACTACTACTACTACTACTACTACTACTACTGCTACTACTACTACTACTGCTACTACTACATGTACTACTACTACTACTACTACTACTACTACTACTACTACTACTACTACTACTACTACTACTACTACTGCTACTACTACTACTACTACTACTACTACTACTACTACTGTACTACTACTGACTACTACTACTACTACTACTACTACTACTACTACTACTACTACTACCACTACTACTACTACTACTACTACTACTACTGCTACTACTACTACTACTACTACTACTACTACTACTACTACTACTACTACTACTACTACTACTACTACTACTGTTACTGTTACTACTACTACTACTACTACTACTGTTACTGCTACTACTACTACTGTACTACTACTACTACTACTACTACTACTACTACTACTACTACTACTACTACTACTACTACTACTGTACTACTACTACTACTGTACTACTACTGCTACTACTACTACTACTACTACTACTACTACTACTACTACTACTACTACTACTACTACTACTACTGCTACTACTACTACTACTACTACTACTGCTACTACTGCTACTACTACTACTACTACTACTGCTACTACTACTACTACTACTACTACTACTACTACTACTGCTACTACTGCTACTGCTACTACTGTTACTACTACTAATACTACTACTGTTACTGTTACTACTACTACTAATACTACTACTGTTACTGTTACTACTACTACTACTAATACTACTACTGTTACTGTTACTACTACTAATACTACTACTGTTACTGTTACTACTACTACTACTACTGCTGATACTACTGTTACTGTTACTACTACTACTACTACTACTACTACTGTTACTGTTACTACTACTACTATTATTTATGTTTTGATTTGTTTTTATTATGATTTTAAAGTACTTCTTATTCTGTAAAGCACTTTGAATTACTTTGTGTATGAATTGTGCTATACAAAGAAAACTTTCCTTGCCTTGCCTACTACTACTACTACTACTACTACTACTACTAATATACTACTGTACAACTGCTATTACTATTACTAGTACTTCTACTACTACTACTACTGCTGCTATTGCTACTACTACTACTACTAATACTACTACTACTACACCCCAACAACAACAATAAAATGAAGTGCGGTGTTTCAGTTGTGGGGCAGGTGTAGTGCGAGACAACCCTGGGCCTTTATTGCTGCTTGCGGTTTTAACTCGGTAGATCCTCACCAGAGACAGGGACCTCCTCTCCAGGGACCTCCTCTCCAGGGACCTCCTCTCCAGGGACCTCCTCTCCAGGCTGCCTTTGCTCAGGATGCTGGACTTCCTGGACTCTCCGCAGCTGCGTCGGTCGGAGCTGTAGGAGCCTCGTGAGCCTCGTGAGCCCAGCTCCAGGTGACCGTTCGGGGTCAAAGTGCAAATCCTCGGGTCTGAAAACAAAGACGGAAAAAGATAACCACTCTGCCACAGGAACACAGAGAGGAATCTAACCCGCAACCTCCTCACTGAAGGGTCCCTCGAGGGGATCCTGACCTCACCTGTTTACCTCTGAACTGTTTCACGTCCTCTTCAAATCTCTCTTCAAATGTTTTTTTTTTTTAACTTTCCCTCACGGTTCTTGTTCTTGTCGACTCTCGGTCTTGTGCCGTATTCAGCCTCAGATGAAGTTTACCACCAGAAAGTAACAAGTAACCAAAACATTTTTACTTTCCATAGCGTGTAACTGAGTAAAAATTACTTTTTAAAGAAGTAACAAGTAACGAGCAAACAATACTTTTTTAAAGTAACTTCCCCAACACTGAGTACTACTACTACCTCAACTATAACCACAACTAGTACTACTGTTACTGCTACCGCTACTACTACCTCAACTATAACCACAACTAGTACTACTGTTACTGCTACCGCTACTACTACCTCAATTATTACCTCAATTACTACTTCGAATACAACTATTGCTCCTACTACTACTACTACTGCCACTACTACTACTACTACTACTACTACTACTATTGCTCCTACTACTCCTACTACTCCTACTACTACTACTACTACTACTACTACTACTACTACTACTACTACTGCTACTACTGCTACTACTACTACTACTACTACTACTACTACTACTACTACTACTACTACTACTACTACTACTACTACTACTACTACTACTACTACTACTACTACTACTACTACTACTACTACTACTACTACTACTACTACTACTACTACTGCTACTACTACTACTACTACTACTACTACTACTACTACTACTACTACTACTACTACTACTCTACTACTACTACTACTACCTACTACTACTGCCTACTACTACCTACTACTACTACTACTACTACCTACTACTACTACTACTACTACCTACTACTACTACTACTACTACTACTACTACTACTACTACTACTACTACTGCTACTACTACTACTACTACTGACTACTACTACTACTACTACTACTACTACTACTCTACTACTACTACTACTACTACTACTACTGCTACTACTACTACTACTACTACTACTGCTACTACTACTACTACTACTACTACTACTACTACTACTACTACTACTACTACTACTACTACTACTACTACTACTACTACTACTACTACTACTACTACTACTGCTACCTACTACTGCTACTACTACTACTACTACTACTACTACTACTACTACTACTACTACTACTACTACTACTACTACTACTACTACTACTACTACTACTGCCCCTACTACTGCTACTACTACTACTACTACTTACTACTACTACTACTACTACTACTACTACTACTACTACTGCCTACTACTGCTACTACTACTACTACTACTACTACTACTACTACTACTACTGCCCCTACTACTGCTACTACTTCTACTTCTACCGTTACTACTGAAATCCCTCCTTCTTCGACACACGTCTGTATTAAAGCTGAATTATCCGTTCGACTGATAACACAACAAAAGGATTCAATTTCAATTAAACTGAGCCGGAGCAGATCCGATCTCCTCTCGTGGAAACCATTTTTAATTCATCTGAACCGGGACGAGAAACGGGGGAAGATCTCTGCTTCATTTTCCACACCATTTTCAGTATTTTGTTTTAAAGTTTTGTAGCTGCGAGTCTTTGAAAATGTGAAGAGTTCATTTGACAGACAGGCTTAGCACATTTCCTACAAAGTTTGCACAAAATCCACAAAAACACGAGAAAGTTCTGCTCAGATTTTAAATATTTATACGAAAAAGACTTTGTGGAGGATGTATAAAAACACCAGCTGTATTCACTTTGTCCTCGGGCAATTTCACCTTTGAGTTTTGACCCTCTCAGGCTGCTGTAGCTGTAGTTCACATTGAGCTTAAAGAAAACGTCTGCATAATTAAAGATGAGAAAGAAAAGAAAGCTGACAGGTCGTGGTTTGGGGCTGTGCTTCTCAAATTCTTTATTTATTCTTGCATTTACGGACGATAATCTTGCGTATTGTTTAGTTTGAGAAGTTTATTTAAAGGTTTTATCAGACACAGAATTGATTTTTGAGCTTTTAGTCGTGTCGTAATGTTGTTTCGTCCTCAAAAACAATCCTAGAGCCGTGTTTTGTTTCATTCACATGCATCTCCAAAGCTCAGCGTGCTCTGTTCCACGTTGTGATGTCACGAAGAGGTAGTTTTCCAGTTAAACCACTACTGCGGTGTTCGTTTTAGGACATCGTCAGGTATCAGACGCAGTTATCACATGAAAAAGCATCAGATCTCAGGCGAAAAGGCATCGGAGTAAAAGTCAGGTCTGAGAAAAGACTCTGTCATCGTCAGATAAAAATACGCTGCATTTCTGGAAAACGGCATCAAACTAAAGATATGTATAATTTTTATTTTTTTTTAAATGAACATTGTACGCTACAGTTAACAAATAAATAAGTAGAGAGTTCAATCCAATTCCAGGGATGAAATTGAAGTGATTCTAGTGAAGATGTGTGGAGTTTAATGGTGCGTTCGTTTATCCGTCTGACTCGGGGTCTGAGGACGTTACCTCGCGACACTGACACGCCCCTTTTCCTCAGACGACCCAAACTCGGAACCTGGAAGAACTCAGAGGAGAACGAGGAAGAATTCCGAGATAGAATCCAAGACGACTGCACCCAGTGTCACTTGTATGAAGTGTTTTCATTATGTTTGGAGCTTTCATATTACTGCAGTACTTTACTGCGTCTGTATTACTGCAGTACTTTACTGTCTGTATTACTGTAGTATTACTGTAGTACTTTACTGCGTCTGTAGTATTACTGCAATACTTTACTGCGTCTGTATTACTGCAGTACTTTACTCGTGTCTGTATTACTGCAGTACTTTAATCGTGTCTATATTACTGTAGTACTTTACTGCGACTGTATTACTGCAGTATTTTTACTGCCATCTGTATTACTGCAGTATTTTACTGCGTCTGTAATTACTGCAGTTATTTTACTGCGTCTGTATTACTGTCTTTAGTACTTTACTGCGTCTGTATTACTGTAGTACTTTACTGTGTCTGTATTACTGCAGTATATTTTACTGCGTCTGTATTACTGCAGTACTTTACGTGTCTATATTACTGTAGTACTTTACTGCGACTGTATTACTGCAGTATTTTACTGCGTCTGTATTACTGCAGTATTTTACTGCGTCTGTATTACTGCAGTATTTTACTGCGTCTGTATTACTGTAGTACTTTACTGCGTGTGTATTACTGTAGTACTTTACTGCGTATTCTGTATTACTGTAGTACTTTACTGTGTCTGTATTACTGTATTACAGTACTTTACTGCGTCTGTATTACTGTAGTACTTTACTGCGTCTGTATTACTGCAGTACTTTACTGCGTCTGTATTACTGCAGTACTTTACTGCGTCTGTATTACTGCAGTACTTTACTGCGTCTGTATTACTGCAGTACTTTACTGCGTCTGTATTACTGTAGTACTTTACTGCGTCTGTATTACTGTAGTACTTTACTGTGTCTGTATTACTGTAGTACTTTACTGCGTCTGTATTACTGTAGTACTTTATCGTGTCTGTATTACTGCAGTACTTTACTGCCTCTGTATTACTGCAGTACTTTACTGCGTCTGTATTACTGCAGTACTTTACTGCATCTGTATTACTGTAGTACTTTACTGCGTCTGTATTACTGCAATACTTTACTGCGTCTGTATTACTGCAGTACTTTATCGTGTCTGTATTACTGCAGTACTTTATTGTGTCTGTATTACTGTACTTTACTGCGTCTGTATTACTGCAGTACTTTATTGTGTCTGTATTACTGCAGTACTTTATCGTGTCTGTATTACTGCAGTACTTTATTGTGTCTGTATTACTGTAGTACTTTACTGCGTCTGTATTACTGCAGTACTTTACTGCGTCTGTATTACTGTAGTACTTTACTGCATCTGTATTACTGCAGTACTTTACTGCGTCTGTATTACTGCAGTACTTTACTGCGTCTGTATTACTGCAGTACTTTACTGCATCTGTATTACTGCAGTACTTTACTGCGTCTGTATTACTGTAGTACTTTACTGCGTCTGTATTACTGCAGTACTTTACTGCGTCTGTATTACTGCAGTACTTTACTGCGTCTGTATTACTGTAGTACTTTACTGCGTCTGTATTACTGTAGTACTTTACTGCGTCTGTATTACTGCAGTACTTTACTGCGTCTGTATTACTGTAGTACTTTACTGCGTCTGTATTACTGCAGTACTTTACTGTGTCTGTATTACTGTAGTACTTTACTGCGTCTGTATTACTGCAGTACTTTACTGCGTCTGTATTACTGTAGTACTTTACTGCGTCTGTATTACTGTAGTACTTTACTGCGTCTGTATTACTGCAGTACTTTACTGTGTCTGTATTACTGCAGTACTTTATCGTGTCTGTATTACTGCAGTACTTTACTTTATTACTGTGTCTGTATTACTGTACTTTAGTATTACTGCAGTACTGTGTCTGTATTACTGCAGTACTTTACTGTGTCTGTATTACTGTATTACTGTCAGTACTTACTTTACTGTGTCTGTATTACTGCAGTACTTTATTGTGTCTGTATTACTGCAGTACTTTATCTGTGTCTGTATTACTGCAGTACTTTACTGTGTCTGTATTACTGCAGTACTTTATCGTGTCTGTATTACTGCAGTACTTTATTGTGTCTGTATTACTGCAGTACTTTATTGTGTCTGTATTACTGCAGTACTTTATCGTGTCTATATTACTGTAGTACTTTACTGTCTGTGGGTGTTGGTTTCGTTCATGTTTTCAGCCTTAGTTATTTTAAGACATTATAAAGAAAAATCTAAAATCTAAATGAATATTTCGTTTAATATAATATTTAGTCTGAAACAACCAGAAAGTGACACAGTGCAGCTTTAAAATAAAAAGGACAGACAGTAACTGACCTGAGAGTTTTATAGAGTCACGTTTCTCGCTCTCGTCGAAGTTGGAGGAGGAGTGGTCGTCCTCAGAGTACGAGCGGTTTGCATCTCCCTGTGGAAAACAAGAGAAACAAAAAAAAGACAAGGTTTGATTTAAAAACAAGATTTGATTTAAACAGAAATTACAGCGACAGAGAAAAGACACAAAGAGCTGAGCGGACACGTCTGCAATGAAAGAAAAGAGCAAAAAAAAACTTTGTAAGGAGAACATTTACATGATTTTATTGTAGAAAAAAGTCTACGTGACATTTTTGAACCCGACATGTTTGACCCAGAGTCTGAGTCTGTTTTTTTTTTTTTTTTAAGTACAAACAAAAGGCTGGAGAAAGTGTCTGTAAAAGTCCAAAGTGAAATCAACTCAAATTAATTTTCGGCAAAAGACGAGTTTCAGTGTAGTTTTTCGTGCGAGTGCGAGTCTCTCCTCCCCCTTCTGAGCACTGTCCTTTTATTTTATTTATTTATTTATTTTATTTATTTATTTGACAGGGACATTGCAGTCGGACACAGTCACAGGCAGAACAAGCAGCTGATGCGACGCAGACGGAACATGTAGATACAGTTTGTGTTTTTCCTGCAGCAAACCTTTCAGAAAAGTTTAAAAACACAAACTTTAAACACATTTTTACAAGAGTTCAATGTTCCCACATTCAAACACACACACACACACACACACACACACACACACTCGACAGACAATATTTACAGGTGGGAACAACTTTGGTTTGTTTTTAACCAGGACTTTTGCCTCCAGGTGAACAGCTGAAGCTCTTTTACGTTTCACTTCAGGTGGGACTGAGCTTCATAGTTTAGAATATTCTGCTCTGAGGCTCGGGCATCTGCTCCGGACGCCTCCTGGACGTCTCCCGGGAGAGGTTTTCCGGGCACGTCCCGTCAGGAGGAGGCTCCGGGGAAGATCCAGGACACGCTGGAGGGACTGTGTCTCTGGGCTGGACTGGGAACACCTCAGGATCCCCCCGGAGGAGCTGGAGGAAAGAGAAGTCTGGGCCTCTGCTCAAACTGCTGTTTCTACCACCTGGAACCGGATAAAACGGAAGAAAATGGATGGATGGGATTGTACAGTCGTTACTGGAGGATCTACTGGAGACTCGTTTGTCTCTGAATAAAAAGACTTAGGCTCTGGTGCGAGATTATTCATGGATTTGAATATTAGTTTAAGAAAATATAATGTATTAAAGCTTCATATTTTGAATCACTTTTTAATTAAAAATACTGGACAAGAAACATTCTCAGTTCACCACTGCACTATTTTAGACAAGTACAACCTGCTTAATTTTAATAATTTTGTTGATTTTAAATATGGATGTTTTATATATAAAGTTTTGTATGGACTTGCCCTCCTCCGTTACAGGATTTTATTAAAATAAAGACAGTTAGTACGAGGGGAGGACGGAGCGTGAGACTGACAGGAGGATCGGTGCAGCGTCTGCAGTGATGCGGTCGCTGTATCGTTGTGGTGAAGAGGAGCTGAGTCGAAAGGCGAAGCTCTCGATTTACCGGTCAGTCTTCGTTCCTACTCTCACCTCTGGTCATGAGCTCTGGGTAGTGACCGAAAGGACGAGATCGCGGATACAAGCGCTCGAAATGAGTTTCCTCCGCAGGGCGTCTGGGCGTCTCCCTTAGAGACAGAGTGAGGAGCTCAGTCACACGGGAGGAGCTCGGAGTAGAGCCGCTGCTCCTCCACATCGAGAGGAGCCAGTTGAGGCTCGGGCGTCTGTTCTGATGTCTCCTGGGCGCCTCCCTCGGGAGGTGTTCATGTCCCACCGGGAGGAGGCCCCGGGGAAGACCCAGGACACACTGGAGGGACTATGTCTCTGGACTGGCCTGGGAACACCTCGGGGTCCCCCTGGAGGAGCTGGAGGAAGTGTCTGGGGTGAGGGAAGTCTGGGAGTCCCTGTGACTCGTCCCCAGATAAGTGGAAGAAAATGGATGGATGTTAGTACGATGGGAACTAGGTCCATGGCCCGGGGGAACTGTGAGCTCCACATCTGGACAAAGTGTGTCTCAGTCGGAGGATCTAACTTCTGGAACATTCTCCCATTATCAATAAGAGAAACTTCAACACTGGACACTTTCACATCACACTTGAAACAGAAAACCAGACCTGCGGACACTTTTAGTTTAGACTTGTCACATGTCACTTGTAATTGTTTTTTTTTTTTGTTTGTTTGTTTTGTGTTTTTTTTCAGTTAAATTTGTGGTGTTACCTGCCTTGGGACTACAAATGGAAATTAGCGTTTTTGTTATAATCTGTCATATTTACACTGCAGTGTTGTAGATGTTCATTAATCTGCACTGTCCCTATTCAATATCGCTTTGAATGGTTTTGGATTTTTTTTTTTTTTACATGTTTATTGAATTTTAGTTGGGATCAAGGACGAGACTCAGAAATCATAACACAATCTGAACATAGGAGCATGGTGACGTAGGTTTGTGGGCGGAGCCTTGTACAGAATCTTACATCAAACCATAAAGCACAATTTATGGTCGTGCGTCAAATCATCTTTGTCCCGATGCAGAGAGTCTGTGTCACCTTGAACACCTCTGCAGAGTGTGAGACACGACATTTTGTAACTGCACATCAAACGGACGTAGACAATCAGGGCTGTGATTGCTCGTCTCTACATCCGATCTCCATATTTTCCAGCGCTCTGCTTTTCCCGCTTCATTCTGTAAACGTGTCACAGACCTCGACGCAGATCCATAAATCAAAAATGACAGCGACAAGGCGACGGCGGCAGTGAGTGTTGAACTATAAACTAAACAGAACTATAAAACGGCCTTAAGGAGGATTTGAATAAGGCCAAGGAGAGATCACTAAATTGCTCAAACATGCATGTTGGTCCGGTCAAGCAGAAGTAAACAACAAGGCCAAAAATTCAAGTTAATTCATCTGATATAAAAATGTATTGAACAGATACATATGTACTCTAGTTTATCAAACTGTTGACCTTTTTTCTGTACCATTTTTGGTTCTAAAGTTCCATCCGTTTTAAACAGACCATGTATGAAACATGGAACAAAAATTATTTCCCAAATTTCAAAGACCTGAAAATCATGTAAATAAATGTTTGTATTTCATCATATCTTGTGTTATTCCATCTTTGAACTGTTGATGAAGGTACAGGATTTAAAAAAAAAAAAAAGTATTTAAAATGATAAAAATGTTCTTGGAAGGACTGACATATTTTATAGAAATAGTTTCCTTTCATTTTGAAGTAATATTAAAGTATTTGGAAGAAAAAAGTGACAAATGATGTAAAATCCTGCACCTTCTACTTGTTTGCACAATTTTCCCTCCGTTACCATGAACTTTCTTAATAAAAAATCTCATGAGTCAAAAAGTAAGAGGTTTTTCAACCTAATCTTGTACCATATGGTAGAAAACTATATGAAGCAAATATTCAAACCAGTTTGTTAAGGATATGTAAGTGAGAACCAAGAGTTATCACTGTTTGGATTTATTGACCAAAAAGTGCTGCATATTTCATTCCCTCCGTTACCGACATGAGTTTTTTAATTTTTTGTCTTGAACTTGAAAGAATCTCACAGGTTTAACTTGACCCTGTTGGAGTGTAACTCTTTCCTACATTCTGATACTTTACTTATTTCAATAGTTCCTCTAGTTTCTGAATAAGAGACATTTGAATTAGGGATGGGCATGATTAATCGATTAATCGATAATTGATCATTAAGAATTTCATCGATTACGTTGATTTTAATCAACAAACTGAATGTATGTTTGTGTATCGTGACCAAACAGGTGTGTACATGTGTCTCTGCATCAGAAGGAGCGAGACACAAACAGTGGGTCAGTCTGTAACGAACTGAAGCACAAATGTGGATTTAACCAGGATTTGTACAAGAAATTCCACACTTTCCGTTGCGTTGGGACAAGTGTGAGTCCATGTGCACAGTGGATAAAGCAGCACATATGTTTCTGTGTCCAGTGGGAAAAAGTTTTTCCAGGTGAGAGTCGCTCAATGTGGATGACGAGGCCCCGCCCCCCTCCCCCCGTACGCTGTCCTGGTTTTGACAAACACAAATCTGGTCACACTGACCTGTATTCACCTGAGTCATGTCTTTTAATCCAACACAAGTTGAACCACATCAGCGACACAAGAGCTGGAGTTTTATCTTCACTTAGTTTATGTAAATTAGTGATGTGGTTTTAAGTTTTGTTTCTGTGAGATTTGAACAAAACTGAATTAAACACATTATAATGTCAAACAGCTGATGTGGATCTAGAGTCGTTATGTTTATATGTCGTAAAGTTGAATTTATTTATGCAGATTAGTGCAGATAGTCATAATAATGATGATCATTTTAATATAAAAACGTTAATGATTAATCGATAATCGATCATTAATTCTTCCGACAATCGATTAAGAAAATTTCATCGAATGCCCGTCCCTAAATTGAATGTCAAAAATCTGCCCGTTTCCCTCCGTTACCACTTGGATGACTCTAAAACTTTTTTCAGACATATTTTTGATGAAGGAGCAGTGTTATAACGCGGGCAAAATCTCCAAAAAGATCCAGCGCATATTGAAAATTGTTATCAGTGCGAAAGAAACCAAACCTGTGTCTCGTTTTCCTGTTTCTCACTTTACCAAACAGCATTTTAGCGTCTCTGTCTCGTAAAATCAGATCCATTTTTCCATCAGTCTCCTGTGAAAGTGTCATCTCAGAGTTTTATTAGCCTCGGGAGCAGATATTAATGCTCCACAAATGGATTCAGTGTAAGAGTCGTATCTGCTGCCTGAGTCTGGAACACGGCAATAAACACAGTAATTACATTATCGATCGATACGGAGATATTTTCTGCGTTGGGTCAATACTCAGTCCTCCGGTTATTTTGGTTCAGCTTCATCTGATTTAAATGGGACTTTTTAAAATAACTGCGTGACTGGACGTTGTGTAACTTTTAGTCTTGTCAGGAAACTAAAATGTCAGACTTGATTTCGATACAGACTCGAAATAAAAAATAAAAAAAACACTCTTTCTTGAGATAATATACAGTGATTTTTAACA